CAGGTATCTGGAGCCTAAAGAAAAGGCAAAGAAAGCTCAAGGGCAGTTGGATTTTCTCACCTCCCCCACACATGCTCTCTCACATGGCAAATTATACTTGGCTCTTCAAGTTGGAATCATAGAGGGGAGCTGGCAGAGAACTTGGTGGATTCTGAGAACCAGCCTGGATAGAGACTAGCTGTCAGGAGCCACAGTGGCTGTAAGAAGACGAAGGACCCATCAGTGTCGGACCATCTCTCTCTGGCTCTAACACGAGAATTCTGCTTTCCTGGACCTTTGCCCCCAGGTGATGTACACAGGCCAGCACTTGTCCTCTCTTCCCCACAGTTCTCAGAGTGAGAGAGACCTAGTTCCTTTCAGAAAGACTGGCTTTCCAGGGCCACAGCCCCCGCCCCCCACCCCCCACTCCCGCTCTCTTCCACCAATCACCTGTCCTCTAGCTGCCACTTCCCTATTCCCTAGTGACACGTGCCAGATCTCATCCCCATGCAACACTCCAGGATGAAAGGAGGAAGGGGATATTAAATCCACCAGTGATATGCTTGGCAATTGGGAGAGGCTTTGTTGTGTCATTTCCTACCTCCTTCAGCCTATTAAGCAAACAAAAGTGCTTGTGGAATGAGAAATGTAAATGGCCAATGCAAGCCGATTAATCCTAGATGTACAATTCCATTAATAAGGCCGCTTTTTAATAGGCGGCTCTGGCAGCAGCAGCAGGCAGGCCAGGAATTGATGTATTCTCTGTAATTGTATTGCAACTAATAGGATATGAAGAAAATTGTACCAGAGAAGCAGGTCTTTCAACACGATTTTCCAATCAGCTGAAATAATGACTTGTAGAGGAAAGCCTTTAAAAGAACGATACACACACAAAAACACAGCATGATCCTCCAGCCCCCATCATTCCAGTCCTGGCTGGGATTTTACTTTTCTTGTCCCCTTCTATCCTGTTCCACCCTCCTTCTTCCTGTCTTCCCCAGTACAGGCAATTGTCAAGTCCTCAAAGGAGGGTGTTCTACATAGCTCTGGCCCTCCTGGACGCTGGGCTGTACCTTCATGCCAGCACCCTCACCCCAGGCTGATATTGCTCTCCCCACACACTGGGAGTTCAGGAGGTTGCAGATGCATCACTGAGAGAAGGAATCCTGTATTGACTCTTTATCCACCTAGGTGAGTTTAGGCAGTCCTTTCCTATCTGGTAGTTCTCGTGGGATAGGAGCCTTCTGCTTTGAAATGGGGGTGGAATGGGGGTATCTGAGCATGTTCACCAACAGTAGGCTGAGGGGAGAGCTGGTATCTCCCCATTTCAGTGCCAGCCAAGGCTGTCTAAGAAGGAAAACCCTGGATGCAAGTGTATGTTAGTTACCCTGATGTCCGTCTACCCAAAGGCTCTCTAGACCCCAGGCATCTTGGTTTCTGAAAGGAGATCTATATGTACCATTCAACAAATGGAGATTCCCATGATGTCTTAGGCTCTGGGGATACAGCAGGGAATAAAAACATCTCTGTCAATATCACTCCTGGTGGCCTAGCACTTCAGTCCCTGGCATCAGTAAAGTCCTCTTGTTTGTTGAGCTACTCCTGGACCCCCCTCCAGGGCCACCCCAGGGCAAGAACCAAGGACATAGCTGCTGCAGTCTGCTTTGCCATGGTGGCAGCCACAGGGGCCAAGGATTCCTCTAAATACCCCTTTCCACCAGTCTCTGCCAGGTAGGGCTTCACATGCCCAACACTCACTTGGTCTTTGGGTCTCTCTTTCCCGCCCATTTGTATGCGGACTCTACCCCTTCCTTGGTCACAAGCTGGAGAGTAAATAGAAAAAAGAAAAGGCAAAGCACATTTCAGTTGAAATCCCCAAGGAAACTGATGTGATTGCTGAACAGAAATGGTTCCAATAAGGGCAGAGAGGAATATTGCTTTTATAGCTTTTGGGACATAAAACATTTAGAAAATGTGATTGACTGGCGGGGTCTAATTTATCATTTATCTCCTTCCTTCTGCTTGTGCACTATCTTGTTCCCCACAACACACAGGCAGACACATGCCAACTTTTCCCCATTTTGCTTTCTTCTTCTTCTCAGAGACTTGGATTTATCATCATTGTGTTAAACAGGAGAACTCCTGTGGCTATTTATAATTAATGCTCAGAAACCTGCCAATCCATTTAATGACACTGGCAGGTCATGGCCCCCTTATAGCTCTCCATTAATCATCATTAGAACAGCTCTGAGTTTTTACATTCTTTTTAAATGTTAATTCACCTCTGTAATGCTCCTTTTAGTTCAAACTGTAAAGGGGGAAGTGGCCAGTGTCTCCACGCTGCCCACAGGGGAATGGCTGGTGGAGTTGATAAAGTCTGGGTGATTTCCTCTGCTCTTCTGTAGTCTACTTCCTATCCTCAGTACCAGATGTCAACCCGTTTGCTTTGGGGTTGCTTATTTTTATCTTTTTAAAAATGCTTAGTAGCTTAAAGTTCTAGGCAAATGAACTTTGCACTCTTGATTTCTTTGGAATCCTGGGGCTCAAGCCACAAGCTGAGAGAAGTTCCAGGATTACTGGCTAGAATGGATCATGGCATGGCTTTCTAGCTCTTGCAAAAGATGGACATAAATTTAGGGCTGAGAAACATTGATTTAACACAACTGTGCCCAGCAACTTCACCTCTTTGAGCCTCATTTCTTGTATTTTGGGGGCTCCATATTTTTTATGTCCCCTGACTTAGTAAACCCTATGAGTTTTTGCTTATTTATGAGTCTTTCCAAGAGCCATGGCAATGAGTCAAGCCTAGCTCCTCCCCTTGACTATCTGTACTCTGTACTTGTCCTTGTCCTGTCAAGTGATATACTCTAAAGCACAGGGCTCTAACAAAACCAAACAGAAATGAATGGGACAAATACAAAATGTATTTTGAATTAATTTTTGACAACCTTATAATATCCCTTGCTTCAGGCCAAGGAGGCCTAGACTTCTGGAACCAAGTACTTGATGTTTTGTTTTATATTATTTTTATTTTTAACCTCAGATGGCCCATTAGGTCCTCTTAGGGACCAGATACTTCATCTATTATGTCATTTAATGTTTTGAAAATAATCTTCCAGAATATGTTAATAGTACTTTACATGTGAAGAAACAAACTCAAAGAGATATAGATGCAGTTCAAGTCTGTGTTGTTCTGTATTTCAAGGCCAAGGGCCAACCTACATCTCCTGAACTGAAGTCTAGCATTCAATTCTGTGAAACTTCTTTTTGTTTTGGCCACTTCTTCAGGTTTGTATGGGAGTGAGTAAGGTAAATCTACTTCACATAAAATGTGAACTTCACTGCTGAGTAAGGTGATACATTTCAGATGAAATGTGAACTGTGTTTGTTATTCAGTACCCCGTTAACTGTTACAAGTGCCTGGGCAGATCAACTTTAAAGGAAGAAAGATTTATTTGGTTCGTACTTTTGGAGATTTTAATATGTGGTCACCTTGCTCCGCTGCTTTTGAACCTGTGGCAAGCAGAAGACCATGGCAGCCAGGAAGTAAAGGAAGGAGAGAAATGGGCCAGAGTCTCAAAGTCTCCTTCAAGGACACACCTTTGATGGTTCAACTTCTTCCACTTGGCTCACCTCTTAAAGTGCCAAATCCTCCCAATACAACTACAGGCTGACAACGATCCCTTTAATACATGGGTACTAGAGGCCACTTGTCCTCAGCCACTGTAACCCAGCAGCTGTTCCTGTGCTGTATAAATTATAACAAGACACCTATGGTTTGGACCAAACCTACTCCTAGGTATGTTTCTCATGGTGTTCAAGCTTACTTTGACAATGTGATAAACAGATGGGAGTCCTTGGTTGAGAGGAAAAGCATCTTTAGAGCACTCTTTTCCCCTTTTGGTTCTTCTGTCTAGCCCCATTCCTTACAAGGAAGCCATACATCTTGTCTCTTCCCTACAAAGCATCACGGATGCTCTAAGTAGACACCAGTCCCCAAGCTGGGCTCTGGCCATCTGTTCTGCCCTTTGCTTGAGAATGCAATAAAATCTGCTTGACAATTATGTCAGTACAAAGGGCAGAGAGGACTGCATGTCAAAAAGCTGTGTAAAATCCATTCTTCCAAAGGTTGCATGGAGAATATTCTGGCCAAAGGGAGCTCTAACAGAGAGTGCTTATTGTATCTGTGGCCTTTCTTGTCTGGACCCTTTTCTTTATTAGCAGATTCATGTTAGTTCTTGCTTGGCACCCAGTTAATAACAATAAGACCCTAGCATCATGCATGGCTGTCTACATTTGAAAGGGCTTAACAGATCTATTATCTCTTTAAGTCTTCATGACTGTGGTTGGATTTGAAAACCAAAGGGCTTTGAAAAACATTTAACCCAACACTTGCAGCTGATGATTATTGATGTATTTTGTTTAGTTTAAGTAATGTATCCTTATTAAATATAATTTGGGAGCCACACAAAAGTAGCTTTAAAAAGATTTAAAGTCACTCATGCACAATTACATTTAATGTATTTTTTCCCACTTTTTTTCTTATTCTCTGCCACGGCTTTTATTATATCCTTATAATCATATCATTTATATCTCATTTTTTCTTTTTAAGAATAGATCAGAAGCAATTTTCCATGTCGTTACATAGTATTAGTGAATATCATTTTAATTGGTTTCATTATATTACATCAAGTAGATATACAATACTCTCACCCCATGTTTGGACATTTATGTTGTTCTAATATTTGCTACCATAAATAATATTTCTGTGAACATCTGCATTATTATGGTCTTCTTGCAGTTTTATGATTGTTTCCTTAAACCAGATAACTGGAAATTCCTGCACTACCGATTCACTTATTTTACTTGGTGGAAAGCGAGACCCAGGGAAACAGAGGGACTCCAGGCCCCTTGGCCAGTTAGAAAAGCAGCATTCCTATGGAAAGTGAGGTCTGCTGGGCCCTTTCCCTTCCCTTCTACAGTAATCCCCTGAATGTCTAAATAAAGAGCTTTAAAATGCCTTGAGCTTTCACATAAAAGTAATTTTATTTTTTAGGACCCAAAGATTGGAGACCAAATTACAATAAAACTACTGTAAATTCCGGAGCCCTTGGAAATAATGTGTGCTTCAGAAGCAAAGTGGCACAGGCACACTTAGAAGGGGAGACACTGGCTTCCGTCAAGGCCAGAGGAGTACAGGGACCCTAGACTCTCCAATCCAAGCTCGCGGCCCAAAGGACCCTGGTCTTCTAGAAAGGAGGCTTTTTAGTTTTCTTCCAGAATGTTCACTCCAGTGACCCCTATGGAGATGCAAGCATCCTCCCTTTGAACTTCTTGTGCCCTCCTCAGTTGGCTGGCTAGGGTGGTAGAGGATTTTTCTGAAGGTCAAAAGCTGGATGCTTTCCTGCACAGTCTCCAAGACCTTACAATCTGAATGAGATTGCGGCTGATGATAGCAGTCTTTTCTGTTTGCTGACCGTGTTGTGGGGTCTAGGTGCAATCCCAGTTGCTCTAAATGTGTTATCACTCCTCAATTTAACAGCATTTTAAGATGAGAACACTGGAAGAGGATAAAAGTTTAGTTCATATAGGAACTAAAGGATGGATAGAATTTGAGACATGGAAACATGACTACCACCCTCTGCTCTTCATTTCCCACGCAGTACCACTTTCATTCAAGTTCTTGGACACTGTCCATCACTCTCCTAGTCACAGCTCTTGTTCTCATCCTTAACAGCTACATAAAAACCAGTAAAGGAGAGAGGGACAGTGTAAGATTCTTGGGACCTTCCCCTTTAGAACCTGGCTTCCACTGAGGTGGCTTCTCCTCCCACATATAAATTAACATGCAGTGACAGACATAGCCTCTTTTGGGAACAGACCAGGGAACCTGTAGATCATAAGAACAGCATCAGATGGGCCCACAAGAGATTGCTGATGTTCAATCATTTTGAAGTAGTACATGTACATGATTTTTATGAGGTTTCCCTAATAGAAGCCATACCATGGGCCCCGACTGTCCTCACTGGTGGTCTCATAGTGTGACAGGAAGGAGGAAGAAATTTTTCCATCCTGTCCATCTTCCAAACAGCATAAAAAAGCACACAGTCTCCATAACACTTGCAGTCTCATGGGGTGGGAAAACTGGCAATTCTTCTCATCAGCTTTTCTGAAGATTCCTGGCCAGTTTCTGGTCCCACTAGCCTTCATGAAGAGGTCTCAGTACAGAGTCTTTCTTACACTGAGGCCCTGACTCACTCTCTGAACTGTGAAATCCCAGCAGAGCTGAAGCAAGGACAAGGGCTTTCCCATCTCTGTTGGAAATTCCGAACAGAAGCACTGGCTTTACCACCGCAGAGCCCTTGATTTGCATCCACATTCTACCACTTCCTGTGTGCCCTGGAGTGATTCTGGAATTCTCTCTCAGCTTGGCTTTCCCAAAACATGGTGACTCGGATGGTCACATTCCAGAATACATGCAGACATGTTGGTGCACCCTGGATGTGGACCACATTTCCTCCTCCTCCTGTGTTCTGAGTGTGGTCACAGGGGATGGACAGCAGAAGCTTCCATTTGTACAGAGCAACTGTATGTACTGAAATGCAGGGTGGCCCCTGAGTTCTAGCAGTTGGAGGTTTGCCCATGCAGACGTGGTACGCAGTACCTGCACTGAGCAAGGCTTCAGAAAATCTAGGACACGTGTTCTCTGTTATTTAGTCTCTCTCCCTTGAGCTTTGGGTGAAACCAGTTTTCTTCTTTTCGCTCTCGTCCTAACTTTGGCCTTCTGTGTTTCTGGGTCCTGATGCTAAACCTCCCTAATTGACCTCCTTCCCTGTACAGAAATAGAGAAGAAAGGAGAAAGTGGTGAAAAATAAGACGAAAGGAAAGGAGGGAGAAAAAGAGGAAGGAGGACAGGAATGTGACCTGGGAAGAAGGCTCAATGGCTAAAGCACCTGCCCTACAAGCAAGAGGACCTGAATTCAGATCCCCATAACCCACATAAATACTCACCTGTAATTCCAGCATCAGAAAGGAGAAAAGACACAGTGCAAGCTGGCTAGCCACATCCATGTGCTCTAGATTTGATTAAAAAACCCTGACTTAATAAATAAGGTGGAAAAGCTATGGCGGAAGATTTCTGACATTAATCCCAGGCTTTCACATGCATACACACACAAGTACATGCACCACACACAAACACACACACATACACACACACACACACACACACACACACACACACACA